TGGAGGGGTCGTCAGGGCGTGGAGGGGTCGTCAGGGTGTGGAGGCGTCGCCAGGGCATGGAGGGGTCTCAAGGGTGGGGAGAGATCTCAAGGGTGCACAAGGGTCATGAGGGCGTGGCGGGGTCAGGAATGTGAGGAGTGTCAGGCTCATGGCAGGAGCGAGGGGCAGTGGGAAGCGGTATGGACCAGGTGTCCGTCCTGCACCAGCCTCACGGGCCTCACGGGGGTCTTGGGCGGTGACCGCCTGGCTCTTTGAGCCGAACTCTCACGGGCAGATACCTACCGTGCACTCAGCCCTTGCTCCTGGCGCTCCCTTGGAGATGAGGCTCAAAGGGCCCCGAGACCCCAGAGGTCACAAGGTTCTGTCTGTAGCTGTGCTTACTTTACTTCTCCTGACCCTCTGGGGTCCTCAGCCAGCTGTGTGAACGCCTGTGTCTGACACAGCCCAGCCCTCAAGCCGGGACATGGCGGCCGCTGTGCGTCCGAGGCATTGTCACTCAGTGATGACCACGGTGGATTTTAGCCGCCCTAGGTCGTGATCTGAGTGGGAAAGATGCTAGTCTGGCTACGTCAGGTGCACACGTGGACCACAGCTGCCGCCCCCTGACCCCCAGGCCCCTGACTTCCCCAGCCTCCCGGCCCCTGTTCAAGCAGCTCAACCCGCAGCAACTGGTGAGGAAGGGGCTACTGGAGGTGGAGGGCGGGGAACCGGGCTGCTTTACCAGCAGTCCTGACTCGTAATTGATGGGAGACGCCTCCCCTCTGGCTCTGGTTGGGTCTGGGCAGGCTATCCATTATTTATCCCAAAAGCCTCCCTCCAGTCCCAGTGGAGGGATTCTGTTCCCGTTCCTGGAGGCCAGCTGTGAGCCAGGAGGACAGAGGATACAGGGGATGAGGGTGCAGCAGGGAGGGCCCTCAGAGGGCGCAGGGCGGGCCCGTGCACGGCACCTCCCAGTTTGTGAAGCACCGGTACTCCTCACAGCTCCCGAGGGGGAAACCGAGGCCCAGAGTGGGGAAGCAGGTTGCCCAAGGCAGCACAGCCCCCTAACAGGCTAACATTTTGACTGGTCAACTAGTTCTTTTTTACCCTCAAGACAGCCTCCCCAGAGCAGGGGCTTTTCTTATTTTTTTTCAAGAACTCTTTATATATTAAGGTTATGAGGCTAAGGGAAGACAGAGTGAATGCTGGGTTCCATGGAGTGTGGTTTATTGAGCTGCCATTCAGGGGCCTCTGGAGCTGGGGGCAGCCTTTCCTTGTGCTGATCAGGTTCTTGCTTGGACCCATTTGAACAGCAGCAGCAGTATTAGCGTGGCCCGTGGCGTGTAGATTCCTGCTGCCTTCGGCCAAGAATGATGTTAATGCTGCCTGCTGCTAGCTCCTGCCCTGTGTATGGATAGCTTGCTGTTTGCCAGACACCAGGGATCACTCTCTTAAACCCCTGAAGCTGGCAGCGTAGTGGTTAAGAAAGCAGCTGCTAACCAAAAGGTTGGCAGTTCAAATCCACCAGCAGCTCCTTGGAAACCCTATGGGGCAGTTCTACTCTGTCCTATAGGGTCGCTATGAGTCAGAACCAACTCGACGACAATGGGTTTCATTTTTTATTTGGTTTGGTTTGTAGCCTGTGAGGGACTCCCTTTGATTATCCCCCTTTTACCGATGTGAAAACTGAGGCTCAGAGAGGTTGCAGAACCTGCCCAAGGTCACACAGGGAGTGGTGGATCCGAGATGCAGACTCAGACTTGTTGGACATGAAAGCCCACGCTCTTAACCCCTGTCATCCTCCCTGAGGGGTCCCCTTTAGGAAACGGCTTATAGCATTGTAGTATTTTTATTCTGTTTGCATTGTGTTCCCTATCTCGTTACATTATAAGAGTTTACCATTGCTGGTTAACTGCTTTAAAAAGCAGAACTGGTTCATTGCAGAGAGCTTAGAAACTACAGCAGCAAGGAGAAAAGCAGTAGGAATCAGCCCAGGACCCCCCATTTCAAGACAGCCTCACTGACAGTTGGGGCATCTGCTTCTTGCCTTTTTCTTTAACATCTGAAGCGGCACAGGCCTCGCAGCCTGGCTTCTCCCGAAGCCTGGTGTCATCGCAGCCCTGGAGCTGGGTCGGCCTTTCTGGCCCCCCGGCTGTGGAGCCCGTGCAGCCCCCCGGCCCATTCTCTGTCTCACACTTGGCTCTTGTGTCTCTCGTTTCAGGAAATTAAAATGCATGACAGATAGCGAGTCCGTCCCGCCCGACTGGCCCTATTTCCTAGCCATTGATAGGATCCTGGCCAAGGTTCCCGAGTCCTGTGACGGGAAACTGCCGGACAGCCAGCAGCCGGGGCCCTCCACGTCCCAGACCGAGGCGTCCCTGTCGCCGTCCACTAAGTCCACCCCCCTGTACTTACCGTACGGCCAGTTCTCCTACGAAGGCCACTGTGAGGACAACGGCTCCGACAGCTCCTCCAGCTTACTGTCCCTTAAGCTCAGGTGTGTGCCTCCCCACCCCCATCCTGGGCAGGCCCGTGAGGACAGCAGCCGCTCCTGGCCACGCCGGGGCTGCTGGGCGACAGCGTGGGCTTTAGTCAGCAGCGTGGTGTGCCTCCCGGCTCCGTCACTCCGAAAGTCCCCGACCTCTCTGAGCCTCAGTCTCCCCTTCTGTGAAATGGGGATCACCAGTGCTTCCTCGGAGCGTGGCTGGGTGTATCGCGGGAAGGGACACACTCGGAGTCCTCGGCCCAGGGCCCCACCCAGGGGGTGCAGCTGAGGTCACGGGACCACACGCTCGGCCCCAAGTGTACCCCAGCCTGCCCTCAGCTCCCGTCCCCCTGGCCCCCAGCAGACTTTGCCTTTGTGGCGCCCACAAGGAGGGCATCCTCATAACCTGGCTGTCTGTCCTCACCTCAGCCCCGCCCTGCTTGCAGCCCTGCCCTTGCACACACTGCGGCAGACCAGCTCCCGAAGAGGGGGCATCTGGGATGGGCTTTCACGGGTGCGTAGGAGCTGGCCAGGTGGAGACAAGAACAGGAAGGTTGTGGGTCTGAGTCGCAGCCTCTCTCCTCTGTGCCTCAGTCTCCCTGCTGTCCCAGCTGCCGGGATGTTGCCCCGGGCTGGGATGTGGGGGCCACTCTCTCGCCCTGCCCTGAGGTGGGCTGGGTCACCCTACTCTGCCGAGAAGCATAGGCCCGGGGCTGGCGGGCAGGTGGGGACCAGGAGGACCTCGGTCAGAGTCCTGCCCCAGCATGGCCTTTGACACGCCAAGGGACTTTGGCAGTTAGACTGAGGATACCACCCCCCATAAGGGTTCCAAGTGGACGCCACGGTGTGGAGCTGCATCCCTCCTGCAAGCTCCCCAAGTGTGCTGCACCCTGCTCCCCAGTGTGCTGGCCCCCTGGGTGTGCTCCTCCCCCCCAGGGTGCTGGCCCATCTCCAGGCTACAGGGAGACCAAAACACCCACAGACCCAGGACGAGCACAGCCCTTCCTTCTGGACCTCAGTTTCCCCATCTGCCCAGGACTGGTGGGGACTGGGTGGCCTCAGGCTTTCCTGGAGGAGCCCCAAGTGCCACAGTGCCCAGGACCCTGCCCCAGCCTTCCTGGTCTCTCCTGGGGTAGCCTCGCCACCCCTGAGCCCCAGCTGGGGCCCGCCTGTCCCTGCCCGCCCAGCTCAGGGGTTGGGGCTCTCCTGGCAAGTGTGCTGGGTGGTGCCCACCCATGGGCGCTCCTCTGCCCTCTGGAGCTGGTCACCACCCCCCACACTGTGGGGCTTTGCATTATCCTGTGACCCCGGATCACGGTGGCGCCTGCTGGTCCCAGAGGGAGGCAGGGCCTGTGGCCCCCAGCACGCTCATCATCTGGGGTGGGCGGGCGCTGAGTGACCCCTCCTCCCACGCCTGGACCGTGAGTCTGTGAGCGAGGGACTCAGCCCCCTGGAGCCTCAGTTTCTCTACCTGTCCACTGGGGCCACCTCAGAGATGGCCGGCGCACGCGTGTCTCACAGCTGGTGCACACGTATCTCAGGCCAGCACACACGTCTCACAGTCAGCACACACATGTCTCACAGCCGGCGCACATGTGTCTCAGGCTGGCACATGTGTCTCAGGCCAGCACACGTGTGTCTCACGGTCGTTACATGCATGTCTCAGACCAGTGCACATGTGTCTCAGGCCAGTGCAAGCGTGTCTCACGGCCTCCCGTGTCGCTGCAGGTCGGAGGAGCGGCCCACCAAGAAGCGCAAGGTAAGGAGCTGCCCGTTCCAGAAGAAGAAGCTGCGGCTGCTGGAGGCCACCCTGGAGGAGCAGCGCAAGCTGAGCCGCGCCGTGGAGGAGACGTGCCGCGAGGTGCGCCGCGTGCTGGACCAGCAGAACATCCTGCAGGTGCAGAGCCTGCAGCTGCAGGAGCGCATGATGAGTCTGCTCGAGAAGATCATCGCCAAGTCCAACGTCTAGGCTGGTGGCCACCGGGACACAGCACCCGGAGAGAGAGCAGAGGCTCCGTGTGGCCTCTGGCCGGGCCCCAGGCGGCTCTGGGCCGGGCTGTCCCTCCGAGGGGGCGCGCTGAGGACCCCCCGGGCACTAGGAGACCCTGGAGGCCCCCCTCCAACATTCACGCCCTCCCTGGACACAAGGCAGGGATTCCACAGTGGGGACGTCTTCAAGTCCACGCTCTGGTGCGGTCACTCTTGGGGCTGCCTGAAGTGGCTTTAGTATTAAATGTGTTGTTTTTCATTACACCTGGATGCGGAGTTCACATCCGGTAGCTTGGAGGGAGCCCTCAGATCCGTCTGCTCTGACAGCAAAAGCAGGTGGCGATGGGTCAGTGGCGGTCCCCGCAGACGACGGACTCTCTCCTGGGGCGGACGGTCATTGTCCCCCTCTCTGCGGCCCCTGGCCACAGCACAGACCCCAGAGAGCCGCACGGCTCTGTGGCCTTTTCTCATCTCCTTTTGGGACCTTGGGTGTTCTGGCTGCTTCCTTAGTAATCACACTAATAAAAGGAATAACACCCCACTCATGTGCACCCCCCTCGTCCCTTCTCTGGGCACTGGGGCGACGGGGCGGTCGTGGGTCGGGGCGAGAATCCTCACCTCCCGTGCGGGAGTTGTCGTGGTCAGGTGCCATCGAGGTGGGTCGGACCCACAGCGACCCCGTGTGCCACAGAACGCAACCCTGCCCGCTCCTGCGCCCCCCTCACAATCGGTGCCATGCTTGAGCCCATTGGTGCAGCCACCGTGTCAGTCCATCTCACTGAGGGGCTTCCTCTTTTTTGCTGACCCTCTGCTTTACCAAACGTGATGTCCTTCTCCAGGGACTGATCCCTCCTGAGAACACGTCCAAAGTATGTGAGACAAAGTCTCCCCATCCTTGCTTCTAAGGAGCATTCTGGCTGTACTTCTTCCAAGACAGATTTGTTCATTCTTCTGGCAGTCCATGGTATATTCAATATTCTTCGCCAACACCATGATTCAAAGGCGTCAATTCTTCTTCTGTCTTCCTTATTCACTGCCCAGCTTTCGCATGCATATGATGCGATTGAAAACACAATGGCTTGGGTCAGGGGCACTTTAGTCTTCAAGGTGACATCTTTGCTTTTGAACACTTTAAAAAGGTCTTTTACAGCAGATTTGCCTAATGCAATGAGTCTTGATTTCTTGACAGCTGCTTCCATGGATGTTGATTGTGGATCCAAGTAAAATGAAATCCTTGACAACTTCAATATTTTCTCTGTTTATCATGGTGTTGCTTATTGGCCCAGTTGTGAGGGTTTTTGTTCTCTTTATGTTGAGGTGTAATCCATACTGAAGGCTGTGGTCTTTGATCTTCACCAGTAAGTATTTCAAGTCCTCTTCCCTTTCCACAAGCAAGGTTGTGTCATCTGCAAATTGCAGGTTGTTAATGAGTCTTCTTCCAATCTTGATGCCCCATTCTTCTTCATAGAGTCCAGCTTCTTAGAGAATTTGCTCAGCATACAGATTGAATAACTATGATGAAAGAATACAACCCTGATGCACACCTTTCCTGATTTTAAACCACAAAGTTCCACCTTGTTCTGTTCAAATGACTGCCTCTTAGTCTATGTACAGGTTCCTCATGAGCACAATTAAGTGTTCTGGAATTCCCATTCTTTGCAATGTTATCCATAATGTGTTATGATCCACACAGTCGAATGCCTTTGCATAGTCAATAAGACAGAGGTAAACATCTTTCTGATATGCTCTGCTTTCAGCCAAGATCCATCTGACATCAGCAATGATATCCCTCCCTCATTCCATGTCCTCTTCTGAAGCCGGCTTGAATTTCTGGCAGTTCCCTGTTGATGTAGTACTGCAACCATATTTGAATTGTCTTCAGCAGAATTTTCCTTACATGTGAGATCAATGATATTCTTCAATAATTTCCACATTCTGCTGGATCGCCTTTCTTTGGAATGGGCGCAAATGTGGATCTCTTCCAGTTTGTTGACCAGGTAGCTGCCCTCCAAATTTCTTGGCATAGACAAGTGAGCACTTCAGCGCTGCATCCGTTTGTTGAAACATCTTAGCTGGGATTCCATCAATTCCTGGAGGCTGGTTTTTCGCCAAGGCCTTCAGTGCAGCTTGGACTTCTTCCTTCAGTACCATTGATTCTTGATCATATGCTGCCTCCTGAAATGGCCGAATGTTGCCCAAATCTTTTTGGCACGGTGACTCTGTGTATTCTTTTGATGCTTCCTGCATCTTTCAATATTTTCTCCATAAAATCCTTCAATATTGCAGCTTGAGGCTTGAATTTTTTCTTCGGTTCTTTCAGCTTGAGAAATGCCGAGCATGTTCTTCCCTTTTGGTTTTCTACCTCCAGGTCTTTGCACATGTCATTATAACAGTTTCCTTTGTCTCCTTGAGCCATCCTTTGAAATTTTCTGTTCAGCTCTTTTACTTCTCCACACAGGAGACTCGGGCTTGATTCCAGCCAGTTTACTTCATGTGCAGCTACCACCCATCCGTCCATGGAAGCTTGTGTGTTGCTGTGATGCTGAACAGGTTTCCGTGGAGCTTCCAGACTAAGATGGACTAGGAAGAAAGGCCTGGCAATCTGCTTCTGGAAATCAGCCAGTGAAAATCCTGTGGCTCACAGCAGTCTGATCCCATCGTGTGTGGGGTCACCATGAGTCTGGGCCAGCTCACAGACAGCCACAGCAACAACAGTTGGGTAGGGGTAGTTGCAGTAGGGGTGCTGGGGTAAATGAGACGAAGGCCCGTTCTCACGGAGCGTCTGTTCTAGCTGGGGGTGCACAGGTAGACAGAGAATTAAAACAGCAGCAGACTCTAGTCCCCACTGGCAGGAAGGACTGGCCTGAGTGATGACAAGGGCCTGTGCAGGGGACCTCGGGGTGAAAGCCCGAGACCCGGCGACGCCGGGCACGGTCCAGGAGTGCGTGAAGGGATGGCAGCCGATGGCGGAGCCCTGTGGCCCTCCGTGAGGAGTGCTGGTTTTTCCCAGCTTCTTGGGAAGCGTTTGCACCAGGAAACACATCCGGCTGCGTCTCTGGATTCCACACCCACAGGAGGGGAGAGGAAGTGGGCGGGGCGGCTCCCCATCCAGCCAGTGAGAGAATTCCTTCCAGAAACTCCTCAGCTGAGTTCCACTCAAGGCTCGTCGGCCAGTACTTGAGCTTGTGGTCACCCTGGCTGCAGAGGAGGGGGAGCAGGGTGTCTGATGCACCCCCTGGGGCTAGGTCACTTGCTGCCCAAACAGAGCAGGGGTCTGTGGCCACACGGGACTGGGGTTCTGCCCCAGGAAGGGCGGAGGGGAAGCTGGTGAGCAGTGGGGCTTGGAAAGCTCCCTCCGGCTACTGGGGGAGTCAGCCGAGGAGGCTGGGGGAAATCACAGCCCTTCTGCCAGCTCGCCTGACACCCAGGCAGGAGTCATCCTCCCACTGTGCCAGGGAGCCCCTGGGGCCCTGGGGTGAGGGTGCAGCCAGCGTGCTCCGTGCAGCACGGAGGCATAGCCAGGCCAACGGGGTTCTCTCTGCTCTCAGGATCCTAGGAGACCCTGCCCTCCTTGGCCAGCCAAATGGTCCTCTGGAGTACACGGGACGTGGACACAAACCGTCCTCCCAGAGTACACAGGACGCGGACGCAGACCGTCCTCCCAGAGTCCGCGGGGTCTGGTCGACATTGAGCAAGCAGCGCTCCAGAGTGGGTGGAGCCCCGATGTGGAGCGTTTGCCAATTTCTGCGGTGTAAATATTCCCCTCACGGTCACCTTCAAGCTGCCACCGAGAGCAGGGTCCCTGAACCTGCGGTTGAGCAGAGGTGCGGAGTTGGCCCTGAGAACCAGTGCTAGCTGGCGCCAGCACACCCTGAAATGGCACGGGCGTCCAAGCAGGACAGAGCTGGGAGACGGCTGGCGGTGGAGGCGTCAGTTACAAGGGTTTGCCTGGCTCATTTCTAGCTCAGGCACCCGCCTGCCTCAGACAAAAAGCCACTCCAAGAGTTCACCTGTTGACAAACATGCTGGGCTCCTGCTACAGGCCTGTGCTGCTCCCGACGCGGGCCCGGCCGTGGACACACGGTGGCAGGCCCCGCGGAGCCAGCAGTGGCCAGTGCTGCACCCGTGGCTGTGACTGGTGCGTCACCCGTGGGGGAGTTGGGCTCCCTGCACACATGGGGCTGCCAGAGGTTCCTGAGCCTCCCAGCAGAGGGAGCCATTGGCACCAGGGACAAGTCAGCTCCAGAGCCTTTGGGACAGAGCAGTGCCTGACGGGAGGCGAGAGGCTGGACCCTGGGCCGGGCTGTGTGACCCTCAGCAGGTTCGGCTGGGAGCCCCCTCAAGAGGTAACAGGTTGAGGCTGTGACTTATGCATCCTATTTCTTCGCTTGTAGACATCTTTGCATTGCTAGGATCGATCCTACTCAGTACACGTTATCGTTCCAGTGACTTCTAGGCATTTGTTACAGCCTTCTGTTCTGTTTTTCCTGCTCTATCAGATTTCATGATTAATGGTATTTCAGCTTCCTCAGTTGGATTGAGGGAGGGGTTGCCCATTCTTTTTTATGATCTAGAACAGAGTCTATTTTATTAACTTTTTACTAAATGAAAATATACTCAACGAAACATCCCTGACTTCAACAACGACTGCATGTACAATTTGGTGACGCTGATTCCAGTCTTCAAGTTGGGCCACCGTTCTTGACCATCTTCTCCAAACTGTTCCCCCATTGTTAACACAAACTCACTGCCCCCAAAGCTTCTGGTCTAACCTTTTGAGTTGCTGTTGTCAATTTGCTCCCATATAGATAATTCTTTTAAAAGAGTATAACGTTTAATGCAGACATTCTTTTCTAATTAGGCTAAACTATTATTTGGTGCAAAGATGGTTTCAGGGAATAGCTTGGGTTCGAGGTTTAAAGATTTCCTCAGAGTAATCTTTCCGGGGGTGGGGAGGGGTCATCTGGTCTCAGTGGCTCC